AGTGGTTATGAACAGTGTTTAGTCGTAACGTGTCCTGATAAGACTAGTGGTTATGAACAGTGTTTAGTCGTAACGTGTCCTGATAAGACTAGTGATTATGAACAGTGTTTAGTCGTAACGTGTCCTGATAAGACTAGTGGTTATGAACAGTGTTTAGTCGTAACGTGTCCTGATAAGACTAGTGGTTATGAACAGTGTTTAGTCACAACGTGTCCTGATAAGACTAGTGGTTATTAACAGTGTTTAGTCATAACGTGTCCTGATAAGACTAGTGGTTATGAACAGTGTTTAGTCGTAACGTGTCCTGATAAGACTAGTGGTTATGAACAGTGTTTAGTCGTAACGTGTCCTGATAAGACTAGTGGTTATGAACAGTGTTTAGTCGTAACGTGTCCTGATAAGACAAGTCATACTGTTAGGCCTCGACCAAATATGCTAAAAAAGAGAGCATATTATGCTCGTCGCATATCAGAGAAAACGTCCATAATATGCCAAAGGCTTAGCAAGATATGCAAAAAGATATGCCAAAATATGCTCGACATAAGCAGAAAGTGTAGATCATTTCAGTAAAATTACAACCTGGGAATATCCATTGGCTTCGCGGCTATCATGCTTATGGTGCAAATCAAAATACATGCGGAATAGTATGGCTGGGGTGTGGCCGCAGCAACCGTAGTGATAGTGTTCATCCATGGGGAATGTAGCAAACGCCTCAACCATTCCAAATTCATCCATAAAAGGCATTTCTGAACGCATTTTGACCATAGTATGAATGTTTTGTCCTCATTTTCTTCAGAATATTTGAATTATGTGCTGGCTTCATTCCAATATTCCCTTTGTCGCTCAATATGCCTTTTATGAACTGTCTCACAAAATATGCTATCACGGCGATAGCAAGGAAGTTAGGCCTTGGCAGGCTAGCATAATTTTTCGCATAATTCCTACCAAAATCGAATAATCGTATAATTCGAGGCAAATTGCATACGAATCGCATAAAATTGGAATAATCCGCCTGTTCGCATCAAATTCCATACAGTTGTACATGTTCTACAAGTACAAGTACAAGTAGATGCACCAGGAAGTCGTAGGTTTACGACTCCCTTAATGTCCAGTCCACTTCAATCAGTGACGGTCGTAGCTAGGTCGGATGGTGCGCTGACCCCGTTGAACTTTTGCTACTACAGTACAACGCCCTCTACAAAAATATTTCCCTGCAATTTTGCACAGAACCATCATACATTAGGAGCATAATATGCACATGTTATGTGAGCATAATACGGCATAATATGGTAACTTTTAGCATAAAAATAGCATACTTCTGCAATTTTTCAGCAATGCGAAAAGCATAATTTGACGAAAATAATAGCATAATATTTTAAGACCTAAAGGAAGTGCCTTGGAATGACACTACACATGCATTTGCAACTCCCATTACCTATTTAGGGCTGACCGGTTAATATTGAGCCATGTCGAGTCATCAAGATACCGTCCCCAGGATTGCGGCAAAGGTCTCTAAACATCGTGCAACTATCAAACCTACTAGGTGCGCGCGCTCACACACACACACACACACGTACATATACAACGGCATGCAGTGGTGATCTCGTACTCTCCTGTAAACCGCCTAGCTTCAGTTCAAACTTGAACTTAGCATAGTCTGAGAGCAGAAAGACTATTTGGAATATCTGAGAGTTTAAATTTCATCAGGAATAATCTTTCCATGTACAAGTACAAAACACCAAAGCTGAGGCAACAGCATTATTGTCACGTGTACGGAAACAAGAAAAATCCAAGAAACAAATACAAAGAACGGCACGGTCAATTATTGTACACGATATTCAGCCAGCGCTGCATAATAAGAAATTTAGTTAGAGGGAAAAGTAATAAAACTGGCTTAGTTCACAGTGCAGGCTGGTGGAGGACAACGATCAGCTATGATGTAATTTAATTGCTTCCCAGACGACAATGAAAATTATTCACAAAATTTACTTGTAGTTGTAAAGAGCATGGCGAATAGAATGTATGGATCACATCCAGCAGATAGTGCAAGAACCAAAAAGCAAATTATAGACGGGAAGTCGGTTTACTAATTTCCTAAAATGCCATGCATCTAAACACAGACGTGCTCGCACGCACATACACACACACACACACACACACGAGTGGTAGACGTCACCCGTCGTGGCTATGCAGACTAGGCTTGCCCGTCACAGCTGCTTTCACACTTCTTCAGTCTTCGTGACAATTGTTCATGAACACAAAACACAAGAGAAGAGAACACAACAGCATTCAGTTAATTTCAGCAAGTGAAAGAACAACAGGAATTACCACATTATGGTGAAAAAAGGACAACAAAATGTTAGGAGTTATGACTGACTGTTCCAAGTGAATACCACATTTTTATACTTTGAAAAATCAATCTTGATCACAGGATGAAAAAGCAGTGTTGACGACTATGATGACAGCGATGCCGACAATGCCAAGAACAACATCGTTTGAGATGTGTTCTCTGTTGATAGTCAATTATAATCACTCAACAGTTTATCCCTTACCAACATCTAATGACAACACTATCTTCTCAATTTTCTTCTTTGCCTGGACACATAACAAAACACATAGTCAGTTCAGTGAGTACACAGGGTTGACAGCCTACACTATCGACTACACTGCTGACTACACTGCCCACTGTTATCTGATAGCCACAACTGAATGAGGGGAATCAACAGAATGGTTTGCCATATCCACACACATCGCTGACAAAGACACCGACACAGACCTGAACGTTAACATACGTGTACGCACACACTAGCAATAGAGAAAAGATACACACAACAAGAAATTGGAAAACGAAAAAAATGAGCCCCCCCCCCCCCCTCCCACACACACCTACACCCTCACAGACTCCAACCCCTTACGCCATCACAGCTCCCCCCCCCCCCCACCTACAACCATCACATCATTCCAGCTCCCACTACAACCATCACACCGTCCAAGCATCCTACACATCCTCACAGCCCCCCCCCCCCCGGCCCGTACACATCCCCCCCGCCCCACACATCCTCACAGCCCCCCTCCCCTGCCCCTACACATCCTCACAGCTCCCCCCTCCCCTACACATCCTCACAGCTCCCCCTCCCCTCCCCCACACATCCTCATAGCCCCCCCCCTCCCCTGCCCCTACACATCTTCACAGCCCCCCTGCCCCTACACATCTTCACAGCCCCTCCCCCTCCTCTGCCCCTACACATCCTCACAGCCACCCCCCCCCCCATGTGCCCCTACACATCCTCACAGCTCCCCCCCCCCTCCCCCACACATCCTCATAGCCCCCCCCCCTCCCATGGCCCTACACATCTTCACAGCCCAGGCTCGTACGCAGGGGGGGGTTTCCCGTTGCCCGGAAACCCCCCAAATGTTCCAAACGAGCAACGTTTTTGGGCATATTTTGGTAGGGCGCACGATCGATCTGGCAAGAATGCAAAACTTCAACAGATCGTAACTCAGTCAAATCTGGCTCAAATCCAACGATCCAAATATCCAGGTCGAATAGAAAACTCTCAGCTGTCGGTTGAAATAATTTGCAACGCGCTGCGAGCAATGTCTCCTGAGATAAATCGTTCGTAAGTTGGGCCGCGATCTCGCAATTTCAAAAGCGCCCAGTGCGAAGCGAGTATCGAGAATTTTAGACTTTTGTCACGCTGCCTTGCTCAAATTTGCAGGGGCTTCACTTGTGATATCTTCAAGAGTACACAGCAAACAAATCGAAACTCTGCGATTAACAAAAACGAAATCGCTGGAGCAGGACGCGTTTGGGCCTTTGGCCCAGTTTGGGGCATTTTTTTTCGCACCGGCGCGTCGCTGCACTCTACCGCTATAGCACATAGCGCTGGATATGTACATGGCTATACTGTGTCCTGGCTATCATGTTCGACCTCATTCTCTCCCTGGTACCTTTCCACTTCCAGGAAGCCTAAGATAATGAAGATTGAGTGAGTAGAACTGAAGTTATGATCCAAAGAACACGAAAAAATTGCGTAATTTTGAAAATTTCCTGGGCTCTTTAGAAAGGGTTAAAACGAGTCATATTTTTGTGATTCGGTTGGAAACCCCCCTAGAGGTGACCCTGCGTACGCACCTGCAGCCCCCCCCCCCCCTCCCCAGCCCCTACACATCTTCACAGCCCCCCCCCCCTCCCCTGCCCCTACACATCCTCACAGCCCCCCCCCCCCCAATGTGCCCCTACACATCCTCACAGTGCCCAGTTCTCCCCACAGAATCTCAATCTCTCTAATCTACTGGTATATATATACACTGGTAAAGAGTTGTTTGCGTGACAATATCACACAAATAATAGTTTAGCAGTGCTGACCACATTCCGTATTTTCCCGTAATTGTACTGAACACTCCTACATCCACAATACGGAATTTGAGCGAAAGTAGGGAAAATTACAGACTTATCAGCTAAGCTGATCCTAGAGGGTGGTGGCGTTCCTACGGAAACGAAAAACTCAGCCTGCAGCTGAGTCTCACGTGAACCGTGAATTTGTTTCCGTAACCATGTAGTAGTAAGCATGGCAAGCACACAGCTGAGTAATGAAT